TCTGCTGAGCCATAGATTATCACTGCAAAAGACAAGGTAAGGCCATGGCAGAAGGAAAGTGTGCTCTTGACACTTGAGAAGGTTCCTGAGTTTGTTTGTTTATGGGGGACTTCTAGAGGATCTGTCTGATTGAAGTGACTGTAGAAGAAGCTATGGGACACAAGAGCAAAGTGAACCTTAATACTGTGGTGCAGGTGAATGATGTTCACCCAAGAGCTCTGCCAAAGATCACAGATGAAGTAGCTGAACTGCTGGCTACGGTGACCAGCCCCTCACTTGAAACAGTCTTAGGCCCTGAGGCCTAAAAAGTTGACAGATGTGACATCAATTTTCTAAAAGGGTTCTGGAGGAGATCCAAGGAACTAGCAGAGCCTGACTGAGCCCATTATTAGAAACTATGTTTAAAAAAAAAATAAGGAATGAAAACTAGAATATACTGAGGAGGAGTCACCATGACTTTTGTAAAGAGAAGCCCTACCTCATAAACCTCCTGAAGTTCTTTGAAGGCATTGGGATGTATATGGATAAGGGAGCTCGTAGTCATAAAGTATGCTCAGGCTTCTAAAAGGCTTCTGTTAGTCTGTCACGAAATTCAGTCCTCACATGGATAAACAGTTCTTTGAAAGACAGTCAGCAGAAGATAAAAATAAATGGTGAGTTCTGACTAATCACAAATGAGATCTTCAAGCTTGAATAGGTCCTTGGGTGGACTCCTCAGCTCTGGCTGAGTAGTAGTCAAAGAAGCAAATGCACAGTTAAGAATAGTCACACTGGAAAAGGGACAGAGAGGTAAACAGAGTGCCCTGGGGCCACTTCATTAACCCTTGGTGCATCTCACTTCATGGTCAGGTCTCAGAATTGGTGAAGGAGACTGTGAAAGTTTGGAGAAGGGTCAATGGAAAAGCTTCTGTACACGAAGTAGCAAAGTTAGATAGGGCTCATCAGCCTGGGAAGGAGGTTGCTGAAGAGAAATCTGACAAAGTTTTGTAAAACGCTTAGAGACATGGAAAAGGTGACTAGCACATGACAGTTCTTTGTCTTTTCCAACATAAGCATGAAGGTCATCAAAAAAGATTAGTAGGTACTCTGTTCCAACAGGCAAGAAGAGGTGCTTTTCTCATAAAATGTAGATCTTGCTGTAGGAGGATGTGGATGTGAAAAGTTCGCACAGGTGCAGAACAGAAATGTGCAACACAATGGAAGAAAAATCCACCGCAGGTTATCAGGTACGAAGACCTTTGGCCCAGGAAGTCACTGAGCTGCAAAATGTGTGAGATTATTCTGGGGAAGCATCACATCTCCTGCTACTCTTGTGCAGGCATTTGCTGTTGGCCACAGTCAGAAACAAGTCCTGGGGAGATGGGCTGCCGGTCTGACCTACTACAACTGTATTTATGTTATGGTTTTATGATCCTTCCATAAGAGTGGAAACTACATGACCGAAAATATCTAGCCTGGATCAAGCATGGGATGCTATGTGACTGGGAGTGGCCTTACCAGGAATAATGGGAGGGTGAACTAGAGGGCAGCTTGCAAGTCCTTTCTGATAATAGGTGTTTTAATTAAAAGGCATTGCAATTCAATGTGGAGCCTGTGACAAAGGGGAAAAAGAAGGAAAAATTAGAGAAAGAAACATCTGGAGACAGCAGCTTGCACAATGCTCTCCCTGCAGGCTTCCACCAGCTGCTAATGGCATATTCAAGCCATGAGGTCAGCACTTTTTTTGTGAACTCTTGGTTCCAGGATACAATACACGCTCTCCTAACACATGCTCTTGCCCTGCTGAAGCAGGGTCTTTTAAGTCTTTGTGAATTGAGTCCTGGGTATTTATGTTACTATCTTTAGTTACAAAACAGAGTGACACGTTTTTAACTGTAAAGCCTTTAGCTAATTATTGATAGACTGGTGCCTATAAAAGAGTGCTGTAGTTATTCAGAGTCTACAACCTCCTCTTTTAAAGTTTAGTGCTTATATATTCCTTGGCTGTTTAAACCATATTTTCATCCTGTAGAAAGAAGAACTTGTGTGATATACAGATATCATGCTGGCATTTTCTTACTATCTAAAACAGGAACATGTCCTAGTAGTCATTCAGTTACCATTTCACAAGCTGCTCCTCAGAAGTTTAGACTTGAAGGCAAACTTTGGTATTTGCTGGAACGAGAAAACAGTTGTTGTTACTCCTGTTGTTCCTGTTGCCCTCCATTTGGGATTTTGAATAGAGCTTGTGTCTTTCCTGCATGAATTGATACACCTGGGCTCTCCAGCTCCCCAGCTATGGTCGCATAGCCGAAGCTGCTATTCTGTGCCTGGGGAAAGACGAAAGTAAGCGGAGATCAGATATGCTTTTATATGCATATTTACCCGCCAGATAGAGCTAACAGTTCATACATGAAATGGTTTATATCCTGAACCCTCACCTGTGTGTGTGTGACCAAGGGGAACATGCTGCTAAACTAATCCTACAAAACCCCAGCAGTAGGCAGTGTTATATATTACTTTCTAAGAAGCCTAATGTCAGGAGGTAAAGCAAAGGAATAGACTAATTGAGATGAATGTTCTGAAATTAACAAAAAAATTGCATCCAGGGAATCCAGAAGTTTCTCCACCATTCACCTCACTGATGCTAAGACCAGCCTCCTGCTGCTGCAGCCTGCCGGGAGAGACAGGACTTGAACTGAAGAATCTTCAATATGGCTCTTGGAAGATTGTCTCCTAATATGTGCAGTAACTGTAATCAAAAGAAGCACAAGGTCTGCACCTCCTGTCTATACAGATAACAGTCAACCCAGCAGTGCTATCCAGTCAGGATATCCTAGTGTCGTTCAGCAGAGTGCTGCATGAGAATGCAATATTGAATTGGAGTGAGGAGAAACATGGCATTCAGCTCAACGTAACAACTCAAATCTGATCTGGACGTTAAAGCTGCAGGTGTCACCCTGTGGTAGGTGCTAGAGCCTGCAGAGGGATGTGGGTTCCCTGCTTGGGACCTATGCTGCTGACGGACAAGGACGAGGTTCCTGCTAACACATGCAAGATTGCAGCCCCACTGCAGATGAGGCCAAAGTGAGTTGATGCAGTATAGATATCACTGTGGATCTGCAGACCCTGTGTCACCCGTTCTGACCTCAGAGCTGCTTCTGCTCTGTTCTCGCTATTCCCTCATGGAGCTGGGCAAGTAGCATCTTCCTGGGTGCCCCTCAGGGTCGAGGGGGAAGAGAGGGGAGCAGTCTCCTCTTTTCTTCCCTACAGCAGGCAATGCCCCAGCTCTCCACAGCCAAGTGCCAGAGCAGAGCACCTTCTTTTGCCGTGTCCATCAGAGGGTGAGGTCTTCCAGGGACAGGTCCTGGCTCTTCAGTGAGATCATTTCAGCTGCACTCCTTATGGGGGACCTGGTCTACAGAGGAAGGCCAGCGAGGATAAGAAAGACAGAAAAAAATCCTGGCTCTGCCATCTCACTTATTATTCAAAAACTGAATACTGTGGCAATATTTTGATGTACTTCCATCAACATCACACAAAGCTGAAAAGGTATTGCCAGCCTCGTCCTGCGTAGTATTACTATAATTTTTGCAGGCTTTCTCTGGCTGGCACTAATATAGGCAGTGAGAGGACGGTATCTCTGTAGCTCTGGGGATTTTAGCTTGAGATAGCAGAATCCCAAAAGGAAACAGAGAAAAATGAGACAATTTAGCACAACTGACAGGAATTAATGAAGTGATTCTGTTCCCCTGTCCCTGTGTTTCCAGGTGAAAAGGCTTCATCAAAACAATATTGTCTGATCTATTTCTATGGGGTGATGAGGGCTCTGCCTGCCCAGACACATTTCTTTCATTTTGTTTTTTCTTACATTTTGCCATCCAGGATTGTTTGGTCACCCGCAGGTGAGAGAGAGAGGACTGGGTTTACAAGCTGTCGCAGGTAATAGAACCACAGCAGCAACACCACCGCAGTGGTCTAGGGAAAGCTGACAGCCAGGTGCTCTCAGAGTCACCTCAGCTTTCCACAGATGAGCTCTACAGAGTAACTAAAAACATCCATTAAATGGGGGGGGGGGGGACGAAAACTGATAAAAAACACTTAAAATGTGGGGGGGGGGGGGAAGGAAATCTGATAAGTCCATAAGCCAGCAACTAACTTCCAAAGAAAAATACCACATGGATGAATTGTATCACAGTTGCCAGTATCGGCTTTCTTTCATGCTGCAGTTTCTTTGGTCTACCTCTCTATCTAGATCATGAATTTTGCAGCTGCAGTTGTCCCTGGGATTAACTGCTCTTGTCCACAGCACGAGGTGAAAATTACAGGAGTCAACACGTGGGGACAGGCAGAATGTGATTACTTGAAACTATGCAACCAGGAGACAGGAGCCAAAAAAAAAAAAAAAAAAAAAGTGGTATGGATTCTCCCGGCCTGCCATGTGGTGAATGAGCTTAATTTGTTGGTTTTTTACTGAAGTGCATAGCGCTTGGGGTTTTTTCAATCAAAAGCCATGTTTGAATTGTTTCTCAAGCATTCCCATTTCTGAGTGATTGATCATTCAGAGATGATGCCAACTGAGAGCATTGATGCAGAGTGGTTGCAAGAGCAGGGTGAGACAGATGCATGGGTGACTGAAACACTTCAGTGGTTGCTGCCACTTCTCTGCCCCTGAAGGACAGCTGAGGGCTTGCAGAGGTGGCTGGAAGGGACTGAAGAGGAATGCTAAATGGCTAATGGAGTAGAAGCTGGTAAGCAAATAGTTACAGATGGGTGCCATCCAATCTAAGGGCCATGATACCTTGTGCTGTCTATGAGGTTTGTACAGGCTCTGTGTGTATGTGTGATGTCTGTGACAGAAAGCCTGCTATTGCTGTGATTAAGTGATTTTTAAGAGATTAAAGACTGTAGTAAAGTGATTTTTTTTTCCAGTTTTGTCCCCATAGCAGATGTGTGCTGTGGTAAGGTTGTGACAAGCAGGCATTCACGGGGGGTGTGTGTGTCTCTTTCTCCCTCTCCAGGTTCTCAAGCATCTGCGCCACTTAAATTTCACCAATAACATGGGGGAGCAAGTGGATTTTGATGAGTTTGGGGACCTGGTAGGGAATTACTCAATAATCAATTGGCATCTCTCTCCGGAGGATGGCTCAGTCGTTTTTGAGGAAGTTGGGCACTACAACGTTTATGCCAAGAAAGGGGAGAGGCTCTTTATCAATGAAAACAAGATCCTGTGGAGTGGATTCTCTAAGGAGGTAAGTGCCTAAATACTCACAGCAACGTTTCCAAAGTTTCCACAAGCTGAAATTTGAACTAACCCTGTGCACTCCTGTATTATGGCTGCATGTCTCATTTAAAGACCCATTCATCTTACTGTATACATGGTCTCTGCCCTAGTCTTTCACACTTCTGGAAATAACAGGCAGCTGCTTCTCCCCTCCTACAAATTTGATGAGCCTGGGTATTAATGCTTGAATAATGCCTTTTTTCTGGCCCAAGTAGTTGGCTTGGAATTTTGTAATGTTGTTTCCACAAGGATGAGAAATTCATTGCCCAAATCTGGTTGCTGATGAAGTCAAGTTTTCCTGAGCACAGTAGTTTCATTTCTGAAGACAGCGATCTCTTCCACTCCCAGTATCTCTGTATCAAGAAGTGTCTCTTCCTGCTCCTAGTTAAATCCACAGCTGTTTCTGCTGGCTTTACCCTCCAAGTCCCAGAGCCTTCCACACACCCTTGCCTTGCAAACCAAACAGAACAAGCCCTGTCAATCTTCCCAGGTTAATTTGGACATGGTGCTCAAATAGTGGGAGATGCTGGTATGTGCTATCTTTTTTTTAATCTACCAAAAGGTGCTTGTGCAGCTTCAAAAGTACATGATGAAGCCATTGACTTCAGTCAGGCCTAAGTCCTTCTCCACTTTGTTGCATATGTCAGATCTTTTCAGCATAACTGTATCATGACTAGCAGCCAGGACTGTGTCTCCTGCGTGTGATGGGAACATGGTGCAGAGATGTCCAGACCAAAGCCAGGTGAGCTGCCGTCAGCAGCCCACTCCAGCCTAGACAGCTCCTGGAGGGGATGCTGAGCAGGCATCTGCCTTGTGGCCTGGGAGGTGGCACAGGGAGCATTAGCTTAGAAACGTCGCTGCTGGGTCCTGCTGCAATGTTTAGATGTGTTAAATCAGCACCTGATTAATGAACAAGGCAATTCATTTCCAGGTGATTATTCATGTCTGCCGACAGATCAGGTAACTGCTTCTGCAGTAGCTACACTTGCCTAATACACTTATGCCATCAGTTAAGCCTTACCTTTACTCCAGATACCCCAGCTTCACTTATGGTTTAATTCCAGAGCTCTCTGAAGGAGGCATAGGTCAGGCAGAGCATGCTGCAGCATAAATACTAAGCTCAGGCTTTTCTAAGCCCAGCTGGAGACTCCAAGCCCAAACTACAAATGGAATTAAAAACCCCTGGTATTCCAACCCCTTCTTCTGATGCCACTGGCACCTCTTCCAACAGGCAGGATTTTTTGTTTTTTTAACATAAACTGAGTAATTATGCTCTCTTGGTCTAAATTCCTCTAACAGTGCAATATTTATCTTCATTCTCTGTCCTAATCTGTTAAAAATGCAACTGGATGTTGCGGAGTGTCATGCCAGGGCATATAAATTGCGTACCAGTGGAGGGGATTGTAATCTCTATGTCTGTTGCAGCTTTTTTTTTTCAGTTTATAGAGTTTGGATTTCTTCCAGATTAAAGGCTCCACTCAAAGAGAGTAGCCAGTACTTCACTCATTGAAGCCTTCTATGCCTCCGTCATCCTCAAAAAAGATTAAATGTATTAAATGTGATTTTAACACAGGAACTTCAGCATTGGCCAGACTTGCAAAAGAACAAGTTAAAGAGTAGGTAAGATAGATAGATTCATTTTGGCAGAACTTGATGAAATTCCCCACAGAATACTTAAGGAGGCAGCCAAAGCAATCTCAAAAGTACTAGCAATTCATCTTTGAGAAATGTGGAGGATGGGTGATGTCTCAAAGGATTAGAGGAGGGTAATCGTAATACCTGTTTTTAAAAGCAGATATAGGAGAGCTAAGGGAATTACACACAATTGAGCTGAGCTTCAGTAATCTAAAAGACTTGATAAAAAAAGAAACAACCCAGTTTATAAACACTTAGAGGATAATAAACTGATAAGAAAAAGCCAAAATGGATTTGTCAAGATGAAATCATGCCAAACCAATTTAATTTTCCTCCTTGGAAGCTCAATCAACTTTAGTAGAAAATGGAGAAGCAGTGCGTGACTTCAGTTGGGCCTTTGATCAGTGACAGCCTAGGG